CCGCGGCGAGCAGCCCTGTCCCCGGCCAAGCGCTGCCCTCGGGGCTCGCGCCAGGCGCATGGAGCACGGCGGGCAGGACCACGGTAACGCCGCCTTTCTGGTTGGCTTCTGTTGCAGAGGGACGGGATGGCAGAAAGCAACAGGGACATCCAGAGTACCCCAGGGTTCGTCTCTGCAGCCGGAGAGACAGCTGGAGGGGTTAGGTGCAAACGGGAGGCGTTGGCAGCCCCACACTGCCAGCAGCGTTTTCGGTGCAAGTTGCCAGCTGAAAATCGTTCCGGCTCACCCCATCTGCCTTACTTAGCACCTCTCCCAGCCAAGGCAGCAACACAGGCAGATGTGTCCCTGGATGCACTTACAGGTAAAATGCCAGGAGCTGCAAGTCAAACCAAGCTGCCCGCTCTGGAAACGTCCTCTGGATCTTCTCCCGGAGACAGGGCACATGCTGTGGGTGCAATAGATGACATCCAGCAGGAGGTCTCCCAGGAGCAACAGCTCTATTTGAACCTGTACCTCTATGGCCAAGTCGCAGCAGCAAAAATTCTGGAGAGAGCATCCAAAGGACTCAAGCAGCCTGTTAAGAACTTCAAAGAAGCTGACCCAAGAGAACACGTCCAGTCTCTCAGTGGTGCTGCAATGGCTCCGGACTCGGAAAAGAGATGGGAAGAGGAAAAGCAAAAGCCAGCTCGTCTCCCTTTGATTTCCCCTCAACTACCCAAGCGGGATGCTTGTGCCCAAACCAAGGGAATCAAAGAGATGGTCCGCGCCATGCCTGTGGTCAGGCCTAGGGCCTCAGCATCAGCACAGGGAAAACCTAGGACATGGCGAAGCCATGGCACCATGACTATGCCTCCTCCAAGCAGCTGGCAGCTTCCAAGCCACTCCTGCGTTCCGCTGGGAGCCGAGAGCGTTGCTAGCAGAGAGATCCACTGTGGACCAGCCTACAAGGAGCAGGACGAGCGCTTGGCAACTTGCCCAACAGCACTGAGGCTGCCACAGCCCCCTGCCAGGGCTGATTTTGCCAAAGTCTTCAGAGAAACATGCAATGAGCTAAAGAGCAGAAAGTTTCCAGCTCCCAAAGCCATCTCTGGCCAGGAGGCCAAGGTACAACCCCCAGACATGGCAGCACATGGCGGTGACCTGCTGTTTCACAGTGGAGACCTGCAGCTTCGTGAGCTGCAAGCGCCCCTCACTGTTATGCCTGTCCTCACCACGGAAGTAACTCCCTTTGCTGAGATCTTGGCAGAACACAGCTCTGAATCCCCCGAAGAAGCCAACACTGGAAGAGACAGGTTTTCTCAGGGCATCCTCGGCGACCCAGGCGTGGCAGCGAGGCCCGAGTGTCAGGGTCCTGCCCTGCCTGCCACGGCTCTGGAGCACACAGTCCAGCAGCTCGTGACTGCAGCCTGGAGCCGTGCCAGCGCCATGAGCCCAGGACCCAGTCGACAGCTGGTGCAGCCCAATGCGGACAAAACCATGGAGGAGCACCATGTGGCCATGGCACAGGGGCTGGTAGCCCACACAAACGGTCCAGCGGCACCAGCCAGTGGATCCCCGGAGCAGACCACGACGCCTGGTAAAACCACATCCCCCACGGCTCTGCAAGAGTCTGAGCCCCGTGCTTGTGGCAGCAACAGGGCTGCTGGCAGGGCCTGTGGGCCAGCTCTCCCAGGCAGGGGCCATGGGCCAGGGCACCGGGAACGGCCACAGACAAGGCAGGGCCCACAAGGGCAGGCTTTGACCATTGTCCCCTGCATTAGAGGCAGGCCAATGAAGGTACATCCAGATGTCACATCAGAACATCTCTCAGTGCTCTCTATAAGAACAGAGTCCCTCGAGGAGCTCAACAGCAGCTGCCTGGCCCGCACTGGGCAGAGCTTGGCCCAGCTCCGAAAACACCATCTCTGGAGGAGGCAGACCCTGAAGGAGAGCGAGGCCAAGGAACAGGAGGGCGAGGGGAAACGCTTCACCCTAACAGTGTCAGGACAACTCAATGTCAAACCCAGGGAGGTGAGTGTGAAGGACAGGCTCAGGCAGGGTGGATGGGCAAAAGCTGACATCTTCCAGCACTGGTCCTTTTGGCCTGTAACCTTCTCTCCTCCTGGGGCCAGCCGCTGCCCCACAATGCTGCATCTGCTGCTGGCTGACCCCTGAGAGGCATTTCCCAGCGGGAAATGAAGCTACCTTCACGAATCTTCCCTCTCTGGTTTCAGGTCTTCCGCAGAAACTCGTTCCCTAACTTGTGGAAACCTGAAATCACACGAGTGGAGCTCCTCAAGGATGTGACAACCACGCAGGACCTGCTGGAGCACCTGGTAGTCCACAGCGTCAAGAAGGAGCGGAGCGCGAGAGCAAAGAAGAGAGGCCTGAAAGCACCAAAGGGTGTGGAATTGGAAGTGGTAGTGGAAGAAGATGAGGAAGAGGACACTAATGAAGACATTTTAAAAGTGGAGAACTCACTGATTTGTAAGAGCCACCTGGATACCACGATGAGCAGGCAGGAAGAGGCAAGACAACCTTGGATGTCATGGCAGCTGCAGAAAAAAGCCTCCACCTGCACAATCTGGGCAAGACCTAGCTTCCTGAGCAAAGACTCTTCCGCGCGCCCACTCCTCCCGAAGAGCCCCCACCCACCCCGCAGAGCGCTTTTTGCTATGCCAGTACCCACCTGGCCGATGAGTTCTCTCTTGGCCAGAGGCCTTTGGCACCAGGTGAGCCGGGAGCGCAAGGTCAGCACTGACCACCAAACAAACCAGATGCATGAGCTGTCTAGGAGGTGCGGTGGGCAAAGACCCCTGCCCCTCCCCCCGGGCCGCCCCTGCCTGTGCTGCCGAGCTGTCACCCTCAGCCCTTTTCCCTCTGTACTATCACCCACTGGGGAGAGGCCTGTTGCAGCCTCTAGACTTGCCCTACAGCCCTGCAACACGTGTTGTCTCGTCAGCTTGCCAGCCACAGGCCCCTTCCCTTGGGACTTGTGGCTGTTCACAGCATCCCCTGGCCCTGTACCGCTTCCCCGTCCATCCCAGGGTACTGTTGTCCTGAGTATGGCAGGCTCATGACCTTACAGATGGGTTGTTTTTGGCTCTCCGATGCAGCTTGCCCACAGGCGTGCAGCAGACGAGCGTTTATCCTCATTCTTCGCAGACACATCAGAGGATGAATCAGGTGTGTACGTGGCACAGCTGAGGCAGGAGCTGCCCGGGGACAGTGGCTTTCAAAGCCACTGAGCCCAGGGGTGCCCAGCCCTGCTTCTCACAGGGGCTTGGGGTTGGTCACGGTGACCCAGCCATGGTCCCAGCAGACTAAGCAGAGCTAGGGATTGAGCAGGGGCTCCCCTGGCCTCCCAGCCAGCCCTTGCTGCCACATCACCGTGGCACACCACGGCACCTGGCAGCAGTATCCGTGTGGATCTGCGTGCCAAGGCCATGATGCCTCAGGGAAGCCCTCGGTGGTGGGCAACAGGCAGGTATTTGTCCTACGCCTGTGTAGACCCTCACCCAAGTCTCTCCTCCCGCTACAGGCATCTTTACCTTCCTGAACACCTCCGCTTCCAGGCAGTTGCCCTCAACCCTCAGGACGATGCTTCGGGCTCTGTGCCGAGCTCTCTCCTGCAGCTGCAATAAGTGGCAGTGAGAGGACCTGTACGAGGCTACGCCTGCCAGGCAGCTCCCCTGAGTTCGGGGCTGGCCCTGAGGATGCGCAGCACGAAGAGGGAGAGCAGTGCAGGGGAAAATAATCATGCCAGAGATGTTCAGCTAGCCCCAGAGCGCGTCCCGCTTCCTGCCTTAGCTCACGGCACGTGAGGAGGACCTGCCAGAGCTACCCTCCCTCCTGGGGACTACAGGAACACCGCCCCATAGCGCGCCTTTTGTTAGGCAGAACCAACAAAGGTCATTAACAAAGACATAAAACAGTATCAGCCCCAAGCAGCAGTTGGACTTGCTACCAGTGAGCACGACCCCACTCTGACCCGATGGGCCAGCTGCTTTGCCGCCCACCTGGATGCTGTGTGCCAGCCCAGCTCTCTGCTTTTGCTGTGAGGACCGTGCTGAAAACCTCGCTCAGGGCCTGGCCTGCAACATGCACTCCTCTTCCGTCATCCACGCCGCCAGGCACCTCATCAGGCGGAAGAAGCCACGACCCATCGGAAACGCAGACAGGAGCAGAGCTTTGCCTCGCAGGGAGAAAGAGGAGCAAAACTGCTGTTCCTCTCAGAGCTCGGCCAGACAGAAATAACCACGTAATTTGCCTAGCAAAAGCCTGGTAGGAGCCCCAGTGTAAAAACTTACTCTTTTCCTTTATGTCCCTAAGGAAGGGGTCTGAGCTAAAACCAAAACCACCCCCTCAGCCCTGAACTCAAGAGGCCACAAAGGGTTTGTGATAGGTTTTTTTTGCGAAAGGACGCTCTCAGTCTGCGCTGTTGCCCAGATCACATCAATACCTGACCTGTTCCAAACTTTCACGCTGTCGTGGAACAACTGGAGCACAGTTCAGGCTCAGGTCAGAGCACAAGTTTTACTGCTGCAGCTACAGGAGAGAGCCCAGAGCAGCAGCAGCGTGCCAGACTGCTCATACGAACTCGGCCCAGGCGAGGCAGTTACGCAGGTGATTATTCCTTTGGGTTATACGACTCGTCCTTCACAGAGCTGCAGCTACGTGGATAAGCAGGAACAGGGAGTGAATCACTTCAGAAGCGTAAGCTCCAACAATACGGCACGCACACTCGCCTACAAACAATACATTCCTTTGGGAACTGGGTCGCGCTGACTTCTGCAAGGCCATTGCAGATATTTTTTGCTAGATAGGCCTGCGAAGGCCTATGAGGCGTTAACTATTTTACTCCCACAACGTGCTTTAAAAAGCCACAGGGCTTTTTCTCGAAACTGTTGCCATTCCTTCTACATTTTCAGAAGCTTTTCCTTCCCAGACTGGTCAGCTTGCAGGAGGCAGAACCAGAGAAGATACCAGAACTGGAGCTTCACACTGTAGGCACCAAGGGTGGGAAGGCAGCTGCCTGCAGAAGATAGGAACAACTCTGGTCTTAACTAGCAGCCCCCAACAGCAGGGGGAATCCAAGCCCTGTTTTGTTTGTGCACGCACACTTTGCTGAGAACGAAGATGTTGGAGAGCCTGGCGGCAAAGCTATTTGCCATTGGTGTCCTCCACAAGAACCACGTCCAATGAGTCAGGGTCTCTCCTGGGTGGCAAGTCCCAGTAGAGCCCACACTGGCTGCAGAGGTGAAGGCGAGGCAGGTGTGATGAGCTTGCAAGAGGTGCTGAGATGAAGCACCTCCTACAGCTACAGCAGCTGTATTCCCTGTGGTGGAGAGAGCACCTGGGGAAGCTGTGGCCAGCGAGGAGTTAGGGAACTGATGGGAGGGGGGGTCCGCGACAGCGGCCTGCAGGGTGCTCTCTACGCGTTGAGGAAAACCAGGCAGGGCCAGACACGTTTTCCGTTTTGTCAACGCCGTCTAGCTGCTTGGCAGCCAGTAACTACTCCCCTTTGCAACCACTTTGCATAGTCAAGATAAGGAAACAGCTCCAGGAGATAAAAGGGGCCCTTAGGATACACAAAGCGAGTCCCGCCTAGGCATTCAACCCATCTGTCCAGTAGCCTCCCAACAGCCTCCTCCCCTGCACGGTTCCCAGGGCTCCCCCCCCCACGCTGGAGGGCAAGTCCTTCATTAAATTTAACTCATTTCACCTCTCACATGCCTTGAGCGTCTCTCTACACCAGTATCCAACCCTCCTCCCATCTTGCAGTCACAGCTCTAGTGGGAAATTTTCAATGCCATCTTGAAAAGGTGTCTGTGATGACAGGCAGAGACTGACACCTTCGTCAACTCAGGGCAGTGTATTTACATCATCCCTTTGCAGTACTTGCCAGGGTCCGTGGCTCCTCTGACACAACAGGGGTGGGAGCTCGGTTTTTATTAATTTAATTACAGAAGTCAGTTCAGTAAAGAAAATGAGACTGAATGAAGCAGCCCAACACAGTCCAGAGCTCCACTCGACCACTGCCCTCCTTGGCTCTGCTTCCAGAAGACCAGATGACACCAGGACGGGCACAACTTGGGACAGTCTAAGAGCACCACATCCCGCAGCAGTGGCAACACATCATTGCAGAGATCCTGTTTCCAGAGGGAAGCACCACAAATCCCATAGCCCCTTACAGGGGTTGGAGGCACAACCAAATCAGTGAGCTGCACGTCTGCCTGCATCACCCCCTTGCTGGTCCCTCCACCCCCAACCACCACTGCCTCCCCCTCCTCTGAAAAGCTGCACCTGCAGAGAGCACCCACCCCATGCGCTGTCGCACTACTCTCCTCCCCGTTCCCCTCCACATTTGCCCCATGCTCTGCAGCCCAGACCAGCCCTCGCCTCGCCGCTCCCCAGCCCCAGGCGGCATGCCCATGCTCAGCCACCAGCACGGAGCAGCTCAGCCGTGCAGTGCACTCGCCTCTGCTGCGGAGAGGAAAAAACGGGCGCCTTTAGCTCCAGCTGGCCGTTAGCATGGGGTGTTAGCTGCTGCACACCCCCCTCCGCTGCACCCCTGAACACCCTCAACACGAGCACAGCCCAGCACCACCTCCCCAATCTGCGTCCCCAGCCCAAACCAGGCTGCTTCCAGGAACGGGGGGACAGTGCCCAGGCTCCAGGCCTCCCATCTGCCCACCGACCCGCTTTCCTCCTCCCTTATCAATACAGAGACATACACTGAGCAAGCCCCTCAATTACTAGAGGAGCTACAGTAAGGAAAGAGGTGCAAGGCAAATGCACGGCCAGGACAGTGCTCTAAAAGAGAAGGCATTACCCAGATGCAGAATCTCCCAGAAGTTACACAGTCACAGTTAAATAGCAGTAAAGATGATGCCAGCTTCATTGCCACAGTTGGTATAAAAAGACATTTATTGATGATGCAAAACTGCGAATCACCTGAGCAATTTGTTCACGGCAAACACACACAGCAAGTCTTAACACACATTCAAATTCTACAGGAAAGATTCAAGTCAGCTGCCTATATATGCTTCTCATTCTCTCGTGGAAAAACTGTTCGAATTTGCTTTCTCCCCCACCTGCCCTTTTGCATCTATTTTAGTTTCTATGAAACCTCAGTTATTGAGGAACAATTGCCATCGAAATTTAACCAGAAAGATAGCTTTGATCTCAGTAGGGGCTAGAGGGCTTTAGAGAAAGCTCACACTGTCTCTAAAAAATTTGAGGCACCATCTTTCCTACAGCTTACTTTTAAGGAAAACAGCCAAGGATCATTCAATAAACTCTCCTTGGGAGAACACCTGGACCCACATTCAAGTCTCAGATCTGCCCTTCATCCAGACAGAATCACAGGACTTGGCTCATGTGCCTGAGTTTTCTTGCATCTGGCAATCCCAGATATACGCACAGCTGTTCTATGGCATGTTTATATGGAGTCTAGCATACCCCCTAAGTGAGCACATCAGCTACCCAGATGACCTACACAGCAAAACTATTGCTCAGTAGAGTCCCTGAACACGCGCTATGAGGCACTATGTGTAAATATCGTTAAGAAAACCCAAGACAAATATAGCGACTCCGTCCCGTGAAGGGCCTAGAACTGCATCTTCCCAGGTGCAGTAGCTGTTTACCTGAAGTTTGAGGAGGATACACAAACCAGTCAACTGCAACTTAGAGTACTGTTGCTCTGATTCCCCATCATCATTACTTCTTGTCCACTGTGTTACCCATTTCAGAAAAGGCCTCAGGATCTTCGACTGCTAAGCTATTAAAATTGTTCGGAATCTTCCAAAAAATTTTCTATATATTCCATGCTACTTACTTTAGTGATACATACAAAAATTAAGCAGCCTCAAGAAAGTACGAACACTGCGATTTTACAAGGAATCTTGAAGCCTAGTTTTTAAAGCAAACTCAGCACTGAGTTTCCTCATAACTTCTACATGGCTCAGCCCATGCTGCTCTTTTTTAGTAGATCCATAGTTTTCTTTCACATACTTTGCAAAGGGCGTTAGATGTGTCCTAGCAGGAGTGCCGTCTTTCCGAGTGGGCTGACTCAGGACCAGCTGCCCCCCGCAGCGTGCACACACAAAACGCTCCGTGTCCAGCGACTTGGAATGACGTCCAATCCTGAAATGGGAAAACAACTGCTTAGATTCCACACTTGCAGTAGGCAGGACTTGTGGGAAATGGCTCCTTTCTCATCTGCTAGACTACTTAGGTCAGATTTCTAGGCTACCATTATATAATAGGAAACAGACTGCATCCTTCAGAGTGAAGTGATTAAATCTGTATTAAGACATTTCTCCCCTAAAACTTCTTCCGTTGCCTTTTCCACATTTTTCAAGGTCTGATCAAATATTTAGGGGTCCAACATGAACTTAAGCCTAAATTCAGATATCCATTTTCACAGTCTTAATTTTTATTTACAGATTCTGTGGAGCAAAATTGGACAGCCATGACTGAATCACAGGCCATCTGGGACAACGGTTCAGGGGTGCTAACTGAAAATTATTTGCAGATTTTACTTTTGAAATCTATGTACGTTTTACTAATTACAAAGAACTTGGAATGCCTTATTTCTACCTACTAATACAGCAATACACCCTAGTACTTTGCTCACGTACGTTCTATGGGGCTGAGCCAGACCTGGCCAACGCTTCAACAGAGCAGGTTCACAAGCACTATTCCAGATGCTAGTGCATACTCACGACTGGAAAAAGTACTACTGTAAAGCTTATAACAGTATCAATGTTGACTGCGAAATCAGAAAGATGTGATCCAAAAAATGCACAAGTTCACTCAAGCGTGTTTCAAAGGCCTATAGTAGCGGGAGAATCCGAACTTGAGTCATTTGAGCAAAGTGTGAAAAATGAGAGCAGCCATGCAGGGTGTGACCTCTCCCCCTCCCTCAAAGCTGAGGCAAGTACTCTGACACGTCTTACTGCTTGGTCACTGCAAGACACTTCTGTCTGTCCTGACCTCTTGACAGTCTGGAAGTGGACCTACTTGGAAACAAATACGTGGAATCATGTAGCGAGATTCTGTGGGCTCAGGAAAGGGAAAATGGCAACTCAGATGACTATCCCAAGCACTTTACAGTTTAAGAGGTTCATAATTTCTACCACAGGAGACCGTCAAGTTAGAAAAAGTTAAAAGAAAAATCACATGCAAGATTATTGCACCACCAAGATTACTCACGTGGTTTTGCACAAAACACACTCATAGGTGAATTTGTACTTAATCTCATAGCTATGGCATCGTGTCACCACTGGCAGTTCTGGATGAATCATAGCCGATTTCTTGGCATATAGTCTCCAGAATTGTCCATGCCCATCCCGAACACCATTGATCAGCCAGGTGGCTGCATGGCAAACCTCATGAATCAGGGTGTCTCGAAGACGGTCTTGGGGTAAGACAAAAAAAAACAGAAATTAAGATCAGCCAGGCATAGGGAAGTACAGCCTCCCATCCTGAGCTCGCTGCTCCACTGTTGGTGTACACGTTCCCTGTTAACAGCTTGCTCATAGGTAGAGATTTCCCAAGGTAATAGTGTTCCGTCCCAAGTCTTAGAAGAGACTGCTGTCTTAGATACAAGACGACAACTAAGCTGCTGCATTCCCTCTTCAAACTGTTGCTTCGCAAGTAATTCTGTTAGCTTTCATTAGCTGCTGACTTGCGACTTCAATTGTTGCAAGAATAAGGGTAGACAGCTCTCTGGAAGGCTTAAACTGAGCACTAAGGCACCACTATCAGCATCTGTTAACTACATTAGTCATGTTATGTGCAATCTCTTCAGAAGCCTGGCAACATCCACAGCTGTGAGAAATCAAAGTTTTGTCCAGACTGTGCTTTGGTGTTACTACCAAACTGTTGCAGAGTGCCACTTCAAGACACTGTATCTGGGAAGGCAAAAATCCTATAAACTGGTGATTCAGCTGCAGAGCACGCTGATAGAAATTAACGTCTCATACTTTTGCAAGTATAATCTATACAGACAATCCAAACATTGCATTTATATTCTCATTCTGCAGCTAATACAAGCTTCAAATACTATTACTATTCCTAAACTCATAATAAAAAGGAAGGAGAAAAGGAGGCTTCAGAGATGTTTTGCAGAAAAAGTCAGAACAAAGGCATGTTACCTTGCCTCCAGCAGTAATCACTGCAGATGTCTAGGAAACAGCATGAGAGCAAGGAAAGCATATAGCAGTAGTTCTTCTAACTGCTCTCCCAGCCCCCAATAATAGATGCATCAGGTTTCTGAGTCAGAGATGGTATCTTTGTATTTAGTAATCCTCTACGGATTTTTCTATTGCATTTGAACCCTGTAAGTTTTTAGCAAACACAACATCCTGCAGCCAGGAATTCCAGAGTTTACTAACACTTTCTGCATCGGTGGTATCTCTTTTCTGTGTTTTGAGCCCGGAACCCCTTAGTTTCACATTTACTGTACAACTCTTCCCTATCCAAACTCTGAGGCTTATAAGATACTGCCCTTCAGTCATTTTCCCTTCTCCCATCTTTTTGCCCCCTCATCCAAGAGTCCTAGAGTCTATTCAGTTTCTTGCTGTGCAGAGGTCTCTTCCAGACCTTTGACACTGCCCTTCTGTGGACCTTTTCCAGGTCCTCTCTCTTTTTAGGTGTAGAGGACTAGAACTACATCCAGGGAAAAAAGCTGCTGCAAGCTCCTCATGGCCTTACACAGCAGCACTTTGATGCTTCATTTGCAGACAGGCATCATCAGATAGCTCTCAGAACAGAGTCCTCCCTGAAAAAATAGGTCCTTCAGGCAAAGTCTGTTGCCATGACCCAGAGCTAATGGAGCTTAGTCTTAATACTGTAAATGACAGCACAGAGAATATTAGCTCCAATATCTAGCTTTGTAAAAACAGATTTACTTCAGAGGATACAATTTTGTCAGCACAAACAGTGAATTGAACATGTATTACAAGTATTTGTTGAACTTCAAAAACAAACTAGTGCTGCAGATCTCTTATGGTATCTGCAAAATTAAAAGAATTGCAAATTACTGCAAGGTTTGGGGCTTGTTGTTGTTGGGGCTTCTTCCTCACTAAGGTGCAAAGGTCATTTTGGAAGTCGGAATTATGAATACCTGGATAAGAAGATAAACGCCCCAACAAGGTTCCACTCCATGCGCTTCTACCAGTTCTGTGATTAACCTTACTAATTCTCCATCCTAGTCACTTCCCCACATCCCTAATCCGTTCCACCTCTCCAACTCATTAAACATATTTCAATAGATTTTAATTGCAGAACTAATTAAAAGCTACTACAGTAGCTCTTAACCTACAGTAACGGCAACATTCATTTTCCCAAAGTGGGGTAGGGGGGAGTAGGAGAGCAGGAATCTAACAGTTACAGTACCACCAAATAATAAAACTTAACTTGGCTCTTATCTGTCTCTATTCCAGCTTTAAGTTTAATCAACAAGGCACCAGGCTATGATGGAAGACAGATATTACACTGCAATATATAGTAAGTCTGGCCATATAGTAAGGTCTTTGAAACCAATACAAAATAGAAGCGTCAAACTATATTCTGAGGTTTGCATGTATAGGTAGCTATCAGTGTTTTCACATTTTGTGAATTCATCCAGCCTCTTGGAAGGGTTGTGAGGACAGGTGCTACTACCTATGCATTATTTTTAGGGGATTTATTTATTCAAGGTGACAAGAAATTTCAGAGCAGGGGCTGACTGTAGATCTTAGTTCTCAGATTCATGCTACTATCTTTAGAACATGGTTTGACAAAGAAGGATCAATGCATCTTTTCCTTTACTTACCTGCAGAGTCACAGACTTTCTCAGAGAGTTCTATTCGAGCGTAACGCTGTGCTTCAGGACTTTTTGTCTGCCCAGTTACACAATATCCTGCTGTTTTTCTCATTTTCTTATTCCAGATTATTTCCATTTTCTCGGGTAACTGAGGGAAAAAAAAACAGTGCGTGTGATCTGCCCTCTCCTGCCCCCTGTACCTTCCTCAGGCCTTCTGGCTTCCTCCGTGTACACTGCACGGCCCTTTACAGCACGTCTCCGATCGCGTCCTCAACGCTGCCATCGCTTAAGAGGCAGACCCACCTTTCTACAGCTTCTCATTCCAGTCACCACTGTTTCTATTACCAACACTAAGAGTTTCACATGTGGGATCAGACCAAAAGTCCACTATTCTGCCTCCAACTGCGGCTAGTCTGTTGCTTAAGAGGAAATATAAGGACAGGTCAGGCATACAACAAAACTCTCTTTTCAAAGTACACTTCTTAGCTGCTAGTCATTTGAAAGACAACACCTCACTGAGCTGCAGGTGGTTCCTCTGCATTCAACAGCTCTCAATTTTTTAAAATGCGTATTACTTCTTAGCGTACATAACGGTCTGTGATCAGAAGTTTCACAGCTCAACTTACATGTCAAATATCATCTACTTTTGATTATTCTGAACCTGTAACTTGTCATTTTCACCTGATACACCCTCATTCTCATCCTGTGAAAAGGTGAATAATCATTGCCTGTTTATCATCTGCGCTGCTTCTGATTTTATAAGTCTCCATCATATCTATCTTCGTTAGCTTTTTTTTTTTTTTTTAAATACTAACAAGTTTTTTGGTCATCTAATTTAGTTAAATGAGCTCAAGTAAATGGTCCAACAAGAGTTAAGTGCCAGCACAAGGAAAGGGCTGAAGCACTGGAGAGCAATATCTTTCAGCAGCAGTAAGCCCTTTCAGCTCAGCTTTACGTGAAACCATGGCTTCTGCCTCTCCTTGGTCAGCTAAGCAATATCTTCTCAGATGCAGAGACATTTTCCTTCCTGAAGGAAAGCCAGCTGCAATTACTAAGGGCAGCGTCCTTTATTTCAAGGATGTTTCTCTTCAGAAGAGGTTCTCAAGCATCCCAGAAGATGCCGCGTGAGGTCAAAACGGCAGTTTTCTGAAAACGAACTTTCAGTTTGAAACACAACTTACAGCTTCAGATTTACTCCAAAACGTTACTCAACGTATAAGCAGTTTTACTGTTTCACAATGACAGAAAAGAACATATAGTAGCAATGCACGAAGACTGCATGCAGCATCACTAAACACGAGACAACAGCCCCTGACACCAAGGAGAGGTGCTTTTCATCTTCAGCTCCCTGCTCCTGGATGCACGCTCCCACCTTGTGTCAGCTGCCAGCAAGCAGCAACATCTCTCCTTCCGGCAGCTGTGAACCATTCGACCAAGTTACATGAGAGAGTTACTTTGACAAAGGCTGCAGTTCTAAAGCAGCTTGAGTCAAGCAAAGCATCGCCTGCTGTGGACTTATATCCCAGCTCCACATTCCCATCATTCACCTTTTTAGCAAGCTGAAGCAGCTCAGCTGAGGGTCCGATGAACACCTAAGCTAACACAAGCTTGTAGGGAGGAGTTGGGAACGGGACATACAGAGCAGACGCAACAGCCAGCAGATGAGTTTGTGCTACCCACTAGCTATTCTTTAGGCTGTGGTAACGCTGTAGGGTCCACTAGCACATGCTATTCAATAAGGGCTGACTGAGCAGGGGTGGGAGACAACCTCAAGCTTCTGTCAGCAGCAGGAGGCCTTAGGTGCCTTGACCGGGGCCCCGTACCACACAAGCAGCAGCAGCAGCAACACTCCTAGGCTACCAAGTTGATGAGCATGTGAATTCTAGAAAACATGAGAGGTATCAGACACCTCTTCAGAAAGGAAACTGACCCAAGGCACCACTTCACGTACGAATTTACCTAATCAAGGACTCTTCTGGACATCATCCAAATTGTCCACTTAAGGATGGTGTGCCATTACAGCTGGGAAAGCAAGCTGTCTCCAAGTTAGAAAACTTTGGCACCACTGTGGTGACAAATCCCCTCTGAAGCAAGTTGTTGGACCCAACGCATACGTAAGTCCAACTCTACCAACTGAAGGGGATAAGGAGCAATCACATCAAAAGGTGAGGAGCAACATATTAATCAGCATTTTATCACTGTGGAAACGTGATTTTTTGTTTTAAAGCCAACCTTCTGCTCAAAAACGGTGCTGTTATAGAGACAGTATAGCTTCTGGGTCAGGTCCTCTTTATTTTTCTTGAAATACTTCACATATTGGGATGCTGGGTTTGAGAGATCTCGCAAGAAACAGCCAGGCACTGAGCACAAATTAAGCCTGCAAGAGAAAACAAAAACAAAAACCACACACACAAAACAAAACCTTAATTCAGTTCAGAAGTATCACCTTGAAAAATGAAGGTCACTTTATAGCCACTAAATTTATATGGCACAAAATCTTACTGACTCTTTTTGTTAGCAATATTCATGAGGCCAGTTTAGGGCACATGATTTTACTGTTTGCTCTTCAAGGCCCTGAAGAGGGAAGGAGAGTTGTTGCGATAGTCTTGCAATTGTTTCACTAGCTCAGAAAACTAGATGCGTGCTCCTACGTGGGAAGGGGGGACAGCTCAGATGTTCCTCTTGGAACAGGAAGTCACAGTTATATCAAAACTTGATTAATATATGAACAGCCCTAACATCACCACACACAATGAAAGCATATTTTCAGGGAAATGACCATAGACATTTTAGGGATCCTAAGAAAAAAAAAAATATTCATTCAAGGAAAGCAAATATTCCACTAGGATGGCAAATTCCATTTCAACACCCCAGAGTTCTGATATAGTATCTGCTTTGAAGACACTACTTAAAGGTTTAGTATTAGTACACAAAATGACTACAGAAAACATCACATGGTTAAGAGGCAGAATAAAGGCAGCTATAAAAAAAGGCATTTCTCTGAGAAGCTTAAGCTGCATCCGCATACAGAGAGAGAAACAACCTAAATTCTTCAAGTTATAATGATGCATGTCCAAAAAACCTGAAGAAGAGCTTGTTAAAAGGAAAGAATTACTTATAAAATCAGTTTTGATATATACCAGAGGCAGGCAGCCCAACAGATAAAAACTCTGGGACCAGTGCGCACTAGAAGTATGCTCTGTCAAGACAGCAAAGAGCAAAAAGGTTAATGAGATTTCTTTTGCACGAGCATTAGCTATAGAAGAGCTCAGTAAAGCTGAGTGGATCTTTTTAACGTAGCTTTAGACTTAACTTTCCAGCTGAAGATCAGTAGGACAGTTTTTAGAACCAATCAACAAGCTGAACGCAGAATCACCATGACTAGCTAATATTCACCTAACAAGTTTAATTAGAACTCAGATATGAAATTGTTACACTACTCAAAGGGTGAAAGAACCTACAGCTCCTGAGAAGTGATTAAACAATATGAAACACTAGATGGCAATACTTTCCAGTGATGAGAGTTCACTACTGGGATCAGATTTGGGACATGCTTTACAGAATGTTTAGGTAAGGAAAAGGCTTTAAGCAGCAAGGTGTCAAAGACTGCCAATACAAAATTATTCAGGGTTGCCTAAACTAAATCTCATCAATCTTGAATTGATTTTTAAAAAGTGATGAAAGTCTCTTACTGTAAAAGTGAAGTAGTACAAACAGGAAAAGCACTTCAAACAACACTGGCTTGTATATTATATATTATATCTAATATTGGTGCAACTCTATCAGTTGCTCTAATAAGATTATTTTCCTTGTAAAAGGAATATTACAAAGTTTGCTCTGCAAATGCAACTCAGAAGACTTGACTGGGATTCTTAACAAGTCAAATTTATTACACAATTCTTTGCCCTGCATTTCGAAATAGGTCAGATGAAAATACAAACAGCTCCTCTTAAAGCCTTATGATCTATTCACGTGTGTATACGTTGCTATACATACGTCTGCACCTATTCCTCCCCCCTCCGTTCTAATTCCTCCTGTCTCAGGAATGGGCAGAAAGATATCAGTGCTAAAAGTTACTAGAAACATAGGCAGACTTCCATTTGAAAATGAACTGAAAGCACTGTTTAGAGACCAGGCAAATAATAGATGACAGAGAAACATAAGTTGCGTTTAAAGGGTGTTTTTTAAAAAAAAAAAAAAAAAAAGGAGCCCCTTGTTAACCTCTCAACCATGGAGGCATAAAAACAGTATTTGCGCATTTGGAAAATAAAAAGCAAAAACACTGTTCAGTGGAAAACTGGTCTCCCATGTCACTATCGCAAGATGAGGCTGCAACACTTACAAAGATCTGGCATTTGTAGCTCTAAATCGTGCTGAGGATCCAAAAGACACCCAGAACATCTCTCAAAGTGATCCACCAACTGCTGTCCAGTTCTGAGCAAAAGACAGCATACGTATCTTCAAAACCCCAGAACATGAAACCATAACGATCATTCCTCATTCACTTGCTAATTACCATTAACAAAGGTCCTGCAAGGGAATCACCAACTCCTACATGATGATTCTGAGGACAAGGCAGTGACATAAAGAGATCTAAAACAGGGAAGAATTTAAGATGTAGCAGCTGTTTACATACTCTGTATCTTAAGCCTACGCTTATCCTACTATTCCACCCTCATTTACTCTACAAAATTAATCTCAGTTTCTTTAACTGGAGATTAGTCTAGTCTCAGGTATGGTGGGGAGAACATAAAGCTTTACTTTCCAGCCTACAACTTTTACAATGGATCAGTAACAGAAGTTTCCAAACAGAAAGAAAATCAGAATTCCATCCTGGGCAAAATACTTCTCAGCATCTCTTCATCCAACTACAATAGCCCTGGAACACAGCATGAGTGGAAAAACACTTACTTTTCCTTTGTCTGTGCTGATGGTGAACAACTGACCGATTCGTTCCCAGGAATTCTCACCGAAGCCATTATCCTGGTAGGTGTTTCTTTAAGTAAAATGGAGTTTGACTTTGGCATCTTGCCTCCCTCCCCCTTGCTCGAGGGGTGAGCACCTTCACAGGGTGACTTGAGGTTTTCTAGTTCAACAGAAAGTCAAAAATATTGCACACTGTCAAAGAATCAGGAGCGTAGATATCAATCAGAAAACAAACAGCTGTGAAACAAGTCTATACATCCCATCTCAGCATACACACTCCTCCTGTGTGTCTGGTCACACTTGGATGCAATTGATTTAAATATATATAATTGCAAATGATCTTTTTTTAAAGTTGCCATTCATTTGGACTGACAGACTCCAATATTTCAAATACTTGTCTAGAACAAAAGGAAAGAGAAGGGAAAGCATTTGTGACCTCTCTCATGCGTTTTCTCCTGTGACATTTCACCAATTCAAAATGCACCATTGCACATCAAGAGCAGTAATGCAGAGATACTCTTTGAAGAGAAAGGAGGAGAAAAAAAGCAAACAAACAAAAACCATTTCAAACTTCTATTGCGTACCTAAAGTCACGCTGTTTGTTCCTAAAGAAATACTACTCTACTACATTGCAACGGAAGTAGATTAACGTAATGATAAGAAAACCCATATCAGGAACCAGCTTCATTAACAGTACTATATAAACTCTATAATCTTTACGATCTCTACCTTTAACACAGCAAAAACTGACATACAAACTTGTAAGGGGAGCTGGGGGAAGCAAGCAAGCTATAGTGACTGCACAGCCTGCCTTTTCTAGTTCAGATGAAAGCTGCCATGCTTATTCAGACCTTTGGCCTAGTTTCTCTATGACATCCATCAGGTACTCAAAGGTTTAAGAAATCGCATAGGCAGGAAATACAGGATATGTTATCAGTAGGCTTTCTTCCTAATGCAGTCTCACAAAGCAGTCTGAACAAACAGCTGCTTATTCTCCCAGTCCACATCCAGACAGATTGCTAGAGTGACCGGCTCTGACAGAAATCAATCACTACTTCAAAGTTCACAGTTTCAGTAGATGTTATCTCTGCTGGCTTTTCCACAACCGTTCAGAAACGGTTTCCTTTCACTAGTCAACAATACAGAGAAAACTCACAAGCAGCTCCCGTCTCATCTCTAGAAAACAAGTATCACGTTGCCATATCCCAACTCAAAAAAAAAAAAAAAAAAAAAGAGATTTGCTCTTTTCCAGGGCATCTTTCTGTGCTGCTGACTTGCCTCTTCCACAAGTCTCCTTGCCTTGATTTAGTACTTGTGAGGAAGGCACGATGTTTAGCATTTTATAAAAAAAAAAAAAAACACAAATCTCTTTCTCTGCCCTTACTCAGCAATAGCCCCTTTTCCAACAAGTCTTTTCCCTCTCTGCAGCCTTTCAGTTGGAGCTCACTTCTGTTAGTCAAAGGACAGAAGCAGCTATTGATTTATCAAATTCTCACTGTAAACTGTATTTAAATAAAATAGCAAAATCAATTATAAATCCAAATAAACACTAAATCAACAGCACCCAAACTGTTCAAAATTTCAGTGTTACCAAAATGACAGCTTCATGTTAGCTACTATCATGTTAAAAAAAAAAAAAAAAGACGTCATTCAAAACTACAACTTATTTTTGTCTTCAGAACAATTTTTAAATAAAGCTAAAAAATACCCAGCAGTTATAGGAATCATGAAAACAAGTGACAGTGAAAACTTAAATCTTGATACCATAAGGCTGGCAGAATCACTTTTCAAAGTGTTCAGAGAGGAATAATTTCTGCTTACATCAAACTGAATTGCAAGAGTCTGGGTTGCGCTCCTAAAGCATATGCCACACACATGAATAGAAGTAGGCAATGGGTTGCCTACTTCTGGGCAATGGGTTGCCTACATTGCTCCCAAAAGGTAACTCAGAGGTTAGCTAAGAATGATTTCTTACCTTTCGTGCTTGGCTGGAAGACCGTTTTACTTGTACTTAAGACAGGTTTTCGAGGCAGACTTTGTTTTCTTATCCGCTCTATTAATGACTCAAATTCACCATCAGAGCTATCTGATTCTAACTCTGCGCTTTGCTGGAGTGCCAAGGCTGGCACTTTATTTTCTGTATTCTCCTTTTCACAAATTCTTTCTTTCCCTCCAAAAAGCAAGTCTGGACTACATCTGGAAATCAACTCCTTCTGATTTTGTGGAGGAGGGAGTTTTATGCACCTCAGATTCTCCCTCAAGTCTTTCACTCCCCCTTTTTGGCGGTCATGCCATGGACTCTCTATGAAGACAGAATCTTCACTGTCACTTAAAGCATCCAGATGCGGCAACTCTTGGGAGCAAATATTTTCTTTTCCAGAACTCGTTAGCTTCTTCGGGATCTGAAGATCCTTCCGTGCTGCAATTCAAAAGAAACTACTTAAAGTCTTGGCAAATTCACTTAGGAGATCCACCTTTGTCTAAAAACAAGAGGATTCCTTGAAAGTTAGGAAAAGACAAAAGGAGAGAAAGGCATTTTCGTATTTGCTTTATTACACTAGGCTAATTTACCATTATACTAAAGTCACCGCAAGAAGTATTAAACACTGTATACATACACAGGGTCTAGGTTACACCAGCCCTCTGGTCTACCAATTCCCCCCCACCCCACACCCAGATGTGAATAGCTAGCTAGCACTGGCACAATCTGTATTCCTGGTAACAAAAGTTACATATAAGTAAGAGTATAATTGAACGTTCACTATTCAAAGAAACGTGCAGCAAATTTGTACTAGATACTAGAGGGGAGAGAAAGAAAGAAAGAAAAAAACCAAAAAACTTTCAGCCAAGCTGGCCTAACCAAAGCACATAGTAAACGCCTTCTAATGCCAGACATTCCTCCTTCCAAGTCAGGACACAATGGGAAGGTGGACAAAACGGCATGCCACTACTTTGAGTCCTCAGTTGTAGAGGAAACATTACAGAAAAATGGAGATTAAAGGAAAAAAAAACCACACCCACACAACAAAATAAAAAAATCACCCCCCCCCCCCACAGGAATAAGAAATGAACAATAAACAAAATGGAGAATTAATCCAAAAGAAAGGGAGAAGAATTTAATCTGTCTTCTGTTACCCCCCCGCCAAAGTGTCCAAATGATCTTATATTTAATAAGTTCTCCCAAAAATTTGTTAACTCAGCAATGTACACTGTCTTCCCACCCAATAAAGTTGCTGCTTCGTATTTGTTGTTGGACAATTACTTGCCGTTCTTAGTTGTGCTGTTTCTCTTTTTAAAGTCCAAGAAGAAATCGTCCACTGAGTCATCGATGAAGTCCTTCAAACTGTAAAAATAAGCAATAATATGAAACACCGGTAGGCATAAGCATGAAAATAAAGGAGTAAGTTTGTCTTACTGAAAGCAAACCAAATCATCTAGCTTAACTTTATCAGTTGCTCGCAACAGATGTTACTAACGTCCGTTAACAGGTATAGTATTACTACAAGTTTGAGCTAAAGGCTCAATTCCACCTTGCCATAGGATGCTTTAAAAGTTCACAGGTCTAACAGGATAATGTTGTCAGTATTAACATTTGAGAGATAGCTAGCAATTTATCCAGTAACTGCAGATAAAGAAACCTGAAGATGAGATTTAGAAAGCTCTACAAGGAAAGAAATTCATGCTGCTGTACAACAGAAGACTGCTTTGAACATGAACTTGTGAACTATGCAAAGCTCTCAGTGCTTTTAAGAGTCTTCTTGACTATTCTAAACTATTGTAACCTATGCTGCCAGTACTTCTCCAGTCAGTAGTTTATAAATTAGGAGTCTAATTTGTTAGTTGTGAATTCTTCTACAGCAGGTTTAACACCTGTCTCTTCCCAGACCAATGAGACTATTAGCATCAGAACCAGAGAGGGAGGCGTGTTATGAACATCTAACGCATAAAAAATTGATCAAAGAGCAAGTCAGAACAGTATGAAGCAACTGCATCATCCAACAAACCCAGCATTTAAACAGGTGAAAGATGAGAGGTGAATTTTCTACAAGCTGTACTGCCCTCAAACAGCAATGAAGCACGTACACCTCCCAACGCCCCACTTCACCTTTGACCTGAACATACACAGAACGAACACAGACCAGTTCTTCTGTCTGCATTCACTTCTATACTCCTACCAGCCTAAGAATCACTAAGAAATTTTTCTTCATTCTTCTATACACAGAGTAGCAGAGGTACATAAATACTGGAAAGTCATTTAGTTCAGCACCAACCTCACATCCTCCTTTTTGGAAACTTGACGTGTCAGGGATTTTGGAGTTTTCATTCTAGCTAAAACTGAAACAATACAAGATTTATTGAGAACAATACTCCAATGTTAAGTCACGCATTTTTAAGAGAAAAGCTTACAACAAGAACAAATTCAATCCAAAGTCTTAAAAAAAACAAAAAAAAACAAAAAAAAACCGCACACACACACAAAACCACACACGCACCCCCAACACCAATAAAGAATCCTTTTAATACAGTTCCAACTCTCAATTCCTCAAAGCTGACAACTATTTAGTAAATCCTTCGTTATTCAACCCTTGCCCAGCATGAAGCCAAAACAGTAGTGCTGTTATGTACCTTACAGCATCCAGTACAGCCTCCTCTCAAAACACAGACCATTAGGAGAGGTAGAGGCTGGGACCCTGAATGCACCATCAATATTTTGCTGAAGCGTTTCAATGACTGTAGGCAGCAGTTTTCCTACCACAAAGAGGCGTCTGTATGCTTGATCCACTAAGTGGCTCCAAAGGAGCCTTCAAACAAAACGTTAACAATAATATCCCACTTCAGAACAACAATGCAGCTGTGACTGGTAAACATGAAAACATAGCGCAGGCAGCAGCATTGCACGTGCTTAAAGTGACTCCTGAGGCATACAGAAAATGCTAGAATTTAACATACGCTCCTCATTACCAGAGATTCAGGCAACCCAGATAGAAATGCATTCTTTTCATACTCCTTCAGAAAGGAAACACGTGCTATTACTTACACATTTCAAATTCCTCATCATCACTGCTTGAAGAAAAGTTCAGAGCATAGCTGAAATTCAGAACAGTGTCAAGAACGTTAGGTCTGCAGCACACAGATCTGCATCTCATCTGGTCTGAAACATCCGTGCACACCGAGAACGAAACTCACTAAAACACACTGAATTTCTCAAATAGCCTGAACTGTTTCAAATCATTTAAAACAGAAATATTAAAAACTTGTCTATTAGAACGTATAACAAGAACACACATTCAATATTCAAGAAGGAATCTATTGCTGTCAAACTCAAAGACAGAACCAACTTGGAGACACTAGTTTAGCGCATTATGCTGGTTTAAGTTCAAATTGGCTGTCAGAAGTGACAGAAAGTCTGTTTCTCATCTCAGGTGTAGTGTATATACTCAGGCAGAGAACACTGAGCTGTATTAAGTCTGAAATCTGGAAACATGCATCAGTAAGAAACAAGCTGCGTTTAAATAATATGCGCTTTAAAATGATTGTCCTGAATATCTTTACTCAAGCTACTGCAGTTTGCTAGATATTTTAAAATGCGTTACCACTTGGATTGCAATTTCCATGCAAACACAGAGGCAAGCCACAACATTTTGTTTTATTGGATGATGTATGCACCATTTTCTGACAAAAACAAACATTAACAACTTGAAAAATACATTATGTGATGGCTTAGAAATACGAGGATGCCTCTTAAGTTACATTAGAGCGAAGTTATACTAGAACGAACCTTTAAAACTATAGTTAGGAAACATGCTAATACCTACCCATCTTTTATAAAAGATTTAGGGATGTAATCCAAAATATTTAGAATGATTATCAATAGCGGTAATTAACAACAGATAATAACATGCAATATTAAAATAGCTATAAACATTGTTTTAAATAATACCAGCCAACGATATAAAATATTAAAATAATATAGCTATATTATTTTAAACAATAAGCCAATTTATTACATAAAATATTAAAGCCATAATAGCCGTAAAATATTGCTTAAAAGGATAATAGCTAATAATCATCATCGCTAGACTGAGACGAGCTCAGAAAAGGCACGTTCGCCGCAGAAACGAGGGGAAGGCGGTCAGTCTTCTTTCTGGCTCCTCAACCCGGCAGGCATCGTCGCCACCAGGAGAGACCAAACCACCGGGAACGCAGCTCTCCTGCCCGCCCCAGCTTCTCCCAAGCCCGAGCCG